GTTTGTGTTAGAAATAGTAAATAGATCAAGGCCTCGAATGTTTAAGGTAATCAGTTATTAATAAATAAAAAGTGACAGATGATACTACTTTGTTTCTTAGTGATGGAAAGCAGATCCTGGTTGCCAGTAATTTTGTGGCTCATTTTAAGAATTAAAAAAGTGTGAGCTCATTGCAGTTCAAAAACACAGAATATCAGAATTGCTTAATATTAAAGTAAAAAAATTACATATTGGATTTTTTTTTACAAAGCGTTCTAAAATTGGAAACACATTTAATTCAAGTAACAATAACAAATCTATTCTAAAAAAATGGAATATTGGTGAAATACACTTCAATTAACAATATAAGCAGCAACACAAAATACAGTGCAATTGTTGTTTTCACAAACTGTGATGATTTGTTTCACAATCAGTAACACTGTAAACATCAATAAACTTCAAGTTTTTTAAAATACACATTTTAAATAATCCAATGTACACAATAGTACACACTGTTTCATGAGCTTATCTAAAGCAACGGCTGAGAAAATGATGTAAATTTGACATTTCTCTTCTGACAGTAATCAATTAAGAAAGTCAATAAATGTTATCTTGGATTATGACTTTTGCTGCTGGAGCAAATGAAAATATAAAAGTGAAATGTAAAAATGGTCCACTAATGATGTCAATGCAAAATACTTCACATAAACTTGTCATTTGCTATTTCACCATTTTCATTTCCCTGAAACTACCACAGAGAACAATACTGTTACATAAATAACAAATATTACATAACAAACATAATTTCTAATCAGGACCTACAAAACACAAGCTGTTCGCATCTCGGAGATACGGAGATATCTGCGCGTGGAGATGATCCGTTCTTATTATAGCGTGCTCCTCTTTTACTTTCAGGACTGGACATCTCTCCTCTATCAGAGTGAAGTCTCAGCTTCCCTCCATTTTCATCATCATAACTGCTCATCTGACCTAGAAAAAACAAAGCAGATAATAAGAAAGGAAAGAACTGACCCTGCTTTGTTTTCTTTGCGCACAAAAAGTATTCTCATAACTTCGTAAAATTACGGTCGAACCCCTGATGTCACATGGACTATTGTACCGTTTCTGTGTGTTGATCGTGGTAATATCATTGCTGTCTGTGAAGGGTCAGAGAGCTCTCAGAATTCATCAAAAATAGCTTAATTTGTGTTCCGAAGATGAACGAAGGTCTTACGGGTTTGGAACGACACGAGGGTTCATTTTGGGGTGAACTATCCCTTTAAATATGTTTCAATGATTAAGTCATATTTGAGGTGGATGAATGACAGGCGAGCGTTTGGATCAATCTGTTCGTCACAGACATGCTTTTTTTTGCCTTTTTGCCTTTTGCCGAACCCATTCTTCACCCTTTTCACATTACATATCACATAGAAAAGGCAAAAACCTGAAAAGTTTAAAATAAAGTGCCTCATCTGTGTTTATTGGGTAGGTTTAGGGAGGGCTTTATTGTCCCAATAAGGCTATTTTCACTCAATGCAATTTTTTCTGTAATTAACAGACTAAACATTTTAGTCGACTAGCCTTTAGTCTAGCCTCTTCTCGTCGACTCATGTTAAGTTGACTATTAAGGGGGCAGCCCTACCTTTGTGTGAAGGACAAGGCTCGGCTCTCATCTCTCTTCCAGTTTGATCACCATAACCGCTCGACTGACCTAGAAAAAAATACAGTCCATTATATAAAAGCTTTAGCTTGAATATATACAGCAATTTTGCAATTCTCATTTGCTGTGTTCCTTGCAGTTTGTGATCATCCAATAAAATATTTGTAACGTCATAAAATAAATACTGTCAAACATCATACTTTTTTTAAAAAAAAGGTCTTTAAAACAATGCTATTTAAAAACTAAACATTAAAAAGCAAAAGTGTTGAATATTTATAACTCACCACTTGACCTTTTCCTTCGGGAGATGCAGTAACAGATCACGACGAGAACTAGAATTGAAACTGGTATTAATACTGCTTTTAAAGCCCAATGAGATTCTGTTTCACAGTCAGCACCATTTCCAGCTGCAAAAAATAAATAAATAAAAATACAAATATTGAAAATGCATTTGTAATGCAGCTGTAATTGTGTGTGACCAGCAAGTGACTTGTACTGAGTTTCATCTGTTATTCACACAGAGTGTACAAAAGCCATTTTTCACACATTCAATCAAAGATTAGTTTCTGGTGA